TTATGTGAAGCCAAAAACGTTTTATCTAGCTTTGGATAGAATAGGGAATAGAAGGAAGAGTCACCAGCTCTCAGTTGCAGATCAAAGATTTATGTGGCAACACAGTGACTTTGAGGATGGGACCCTGCAAGGCCTTGACATGTTGGCTGTATTTGTCCTATGTGATGTGACATGAATAAAACCACATAAATCTTTGATCTGCAATTGAGTGCTGGTGACTCTTTTTCTATTGTGGTATTGCATGATGCAATCTTCCCTTGTCCCTGGATTATCTCTAACTTCTAAAAAGCGGAAATATGAGCGCTATCAGAAATTGAATGTAGCGGCTAGGACACAAAAGGTAACCAAACGACACCTTCAGTATAACATATAAAACAAGAAGTGCAGCGCTAAAACCAAGTGACAAACTGAGTAAAACAAATATAAAGTGGATAATACAATGTATATAAAATAGTTATAATATGAAGTTCCTGTCACTATTAGTGATTAACTGAATAGATAATAGATAAACTATTCAGTTAATCACTAATAGTGACAGGAACTTCATATTATATCTATTTTATATACATCGTATTATCCACTTTATATTTGTTTTACTCAGTCTGTCACTTGGTTTTAGCACTGCACTTCTTGTTTTATATAATATCTCTAACTTCTGTTTGTTGGGCTATGACTATCATATCCATTTTCGATTACTGCATTCGTACCTGAGGAATCCCAAGAACCAGAGTATAAATTTTTTAAGAAAGGTGCAGAACTGTCTATCTCCCTTTGATCAAATAGAAAAATAAATAATAGAAAAATAAATAAATAGGTGAACTCTAATACTTGCTTTGCCACCACATTAATTTATTTAAAGTACTTTACTCCAACAAGTTGGATTTAGTATAGTCGAGTTAAAGTGTATATGAAACCACTTTTGTTTTTTTTTAAAAAGTGAGTAAGCATTGAAAGACTTCTCTGGCTTTTTATTTCTACCTAAGATCTGCCCTCACAATTTTTCTTGGTGCCCATTGTCATCAGTACAGAAAATAATAGGAAAAACAACATTTTAGATTGGTCACAGGAACTGGAGGTAGAAATCTTCCAATGAGAACACCTAATCTAAATCTTCCAGTGGGGACATCTGTGTTAAAAGGGATTCCTCCCACTTTGGTGGGATTTCCTATAATGTTCTGTTGTGTCTCTGGAACAGGAAGTAAAGGGAATTCTCCCCATTTGAACATACAGCAAAAATAAACTTGACAGACGTCTTAACTACTTCCTACACTATCAAAATCTAAAAGAAAAGTTTGGCTTTACACACACATTACATATTCTATATCATTTAATTTACAAATGTGCTGCTGTCCCTGTGATTTGGTGCATATAGTATCCATGAACAACACTACCATATTCCTGCTTGGCAAACATTTTCCCACTGATATCTGTGACACCTTGAAAGGAAGACATATGGCAAAACTATACTTATAAAATGGTGGATGAGAGTAGATTAATGTAACATCTATGTTACCCTCCTTCAACCTAACTTACACAATCCGAATTGTAAGTAGTTGTCTTTTAAAGCAAGTCATGCAGCATATGGGTAGAGTAGCATTATGTAATTTGTTACCTGGGTCTGGCAAAGTATTAATGTTAGGGGGTTGTAATGAGACATTTTCCTGCTACAAAACAGACGTTATCTCAAACCTGTATAATTTGCAAATTGCAATTGTAGCAGTGCACAATAATTGCTACTCAAATAAGTTCCGAGATTCCTCTGCTGAGAATAAGGCAATGATCTGCTATGGAGAGCAGGTGCATCAGCTAAGTTGCCATGGGGAAAACAGATCTTACCTTGGCTGGGAAACAATTGTGCAAAGAAAATAGACAAAGAAAGTTTCTGCCAGAGATAATCTTGCAGTAACAAAGACTATGTGCGGGTTCTGACTATTTACAGCATGAAACAGAAAATATTGAATGCTTTCATGGACAGATGTTTAGGAAGAGAGTGTTTTATTATCAATTTATTGATGCAATATTTTCGATTAAATCTGAATTCTGCCATTTTCGAGTACTGGATAGAGTAGAGAAGAATCTGTTTTTTATTTCTGTCTGTCATTCCACTGGGTAGATGTTCCCTCATTTCCAGTTCCTGTAACATCTAGGCAAAGAATGGGGGTGCAGTTGTCACTGGGTAAAGAAGGCACAGACTGCAATAACATTGTCACTTTTTTTTCTTCCCTCGTCCTACTAAAAGTGTGTCCTTGTTTTTCTCTATGTCCCCATTGGAAAGAGCTCCCAACACTTCTTGTCCTGACAGAGAGTGAGGTGATATCACCAATAGGGATATAGATGGCAAAACATGGAGGCAATAGCTCTTTTCAGGTCTATAGAAAATAAAAATAAAAGTTTGGCTAGAGTGAACCTGTCATGAGAGATCTTAAAGCAGAGTTCCAGCTGACAAAAAAAAAAAGTCAACAGCTACAAAAACTGTAGCTGCTGACTTTTAAAATACAGACACTAACCTGTCCCTCGGTCCATTGGTGTCCTCGGCTGGTTTCATTGGCCATCTTCTCTCCCCAGCATCTTCATTGTGGGCACCTGGCTGTGACAGCTTGCAGCTTCACAGCCGATGCCCACATACGCAAGAAGCGCTGCACTTTGTGAATGGCCCCGTAGTCTTCTGGGACCTGTCATGTGTCCCAGAAGACTACTGGGAGGAAGGGGGGGGGAGGACAACTTCTGCTTCTGATCACCTAGGCTATTGTAGCATAAGGGGAGTGGGTACCCAGAAAATTCGGGTACCCGCTCCCCTCCTGCTCTGCAAACGTGCCAATTCTTAACGGAGAGCAGGGGACAAAGGCTTAAAGTGTAACTTCCCCTTTTGGGTGAAGCTTTGCTTTAAGGTGCTGTCACTGCTAATCTCCTTAAAAATAAATAGCTGACTGGCAGGAATGCTGACCGTCTGGCTTCAATATTTTCTAAGTCACTGATCCACAACAAGGATGTAGGTTAAATAAGAAATATGGCCAAAGCTATTTTGGCTATACTTCTATGGATTACAGGAGTTCAATTCATTCTGCACTCCTGTGACCCATTTTCAGCTGACAGTGGGCTAAAACCCACTGTCGGCTGACATCACTCAGCTGGTCCAGGCTCTGGAAAAATCCCAACTTTACAGTCGGTATCCACCCCAATGTCTGGACCGGCTGCTGGCTGAACCTCTCAGCAAGCCACTAGGGGGCTTAAGCGAGCCACTTCTGCCACACAGCCCAGTGTCCAGAGAACGCTGAAGTGGCAGAGCTGAGAGCTGGTGACTGATAGCCATTGGCTCTCTGCAGACTGAAGACTGAGAAAGAAGTGTTTGATCTCTCAGTTCTTGGTCTTGGAGCAGGCGGAGTGCAGCTGCATCCATCTAGGTGAGTATGATTTTTTGTTGTTTCAATTATCAATCTTCCCTTTTTAGTGTGTAGGCTAAGAAAGGTGGAGAAAAGTCAAATTATCTGCATACCTTTTCCAGAATGTTCAGCACCACAGCCAGGAGACTAATACATTCAATAGGAGAGCTCAGCAATAGCAACCTCTATGTTTCTCCAATAACAGGAAAACTAATCATTTTGGATCATTTGTATTTATATTCTTTTTAGGTTAAATGTGATTTTATATCTGTTTACCAAACTATATACAATGTTTGCTTTATAAATAACCATTTAATACATGTGAAAAGCATTCCCAGAGCACTATAAGTCTTCTAAAAGGAGAACACAAAAGTGGTTATCTTTATTCAGACATTCAGTCTCTAACTGAAACATCAAGTATATTTTTTATGCATACACCGCAAACAGAATAGTAATAATCAAGAAAGAGGTACTAGTAAATGTAGACTGCTAAAAGAAATAAAACAAGGTTATGAAGGTTCACCCGTCATGTCTATTGTTTTATATACTCATTTTTTTAAGAATTTTTTTAGAAACATAGTAATTCTTTTGTCCATTATCCCTATGTACCTTTGGATAGCTGGCTGAGACCCTGGGGTTGTTGTGGAAAAGTTGCCTGGCCACCATGGAACTGTAAATTTCACTACTGGTGTTTAAAGGTACAATACAGACAAACTTTAATATATAAATTTACATTTTGAAGATTGTTATGCAAGAGCATACACACAAGTAACTGTTCAATATAGAACAGATTCCTCAGGATCCACAAAAGTACATTCCAGAAGCAACTAATGGAAATTAAAGTGTTGTTTTGATACCATTGGATCTTTTAGTGTCTTATTCCGTTTTAATTGGGAAGAGATAAAATGATGCAACTATATGTATTAAAAGGTCCTGATTAGGTACTTTTTGAGTCTCGTGGAATAATTGAAAGGGTTTAATGCCATCAAAGTCTGTAAATGTTTTGTTTATCCACCAACGGAACCTACTTAGAGGGTCCATTCCTGGTGGGAACATGGGTTATTTTACTAACCACGGAAGATCTGAGGAATTAGACTTCCTGAAAACTTTATGAAGTTTAATTGGCAGGCTCAAAGTTATTGGCTTCATATTTGGTGGTAGCCAAATTAATGAGGATATTGGCAGGCACTGGGTTACAATCAATTGTATGCAGCAGTGGGATTTCCCTGGGAGCATGTAGAAGATCCAAAGTAACTATGTTGACTGCTCCACAATAATATAGTAGTAAGGGGATTCCCAGGCCCCCTATCAATAGGGAGATTGTTTAAGACGGCCCTCTCACTATAAAAGTGGGGCACAGACCAGCCATAAGGGGTTAATTTGCTAAAACTGGAGAGTGCAATATCTTGTACAGCTCTGCATAGAAACCAATCAGCTTCCAGGTTTTTTTTTTGTCAAAGCCTAATCAAACAAGCTGAAGTTAGAAGCTGATTGGCTACCATGCACAGCTGCACCAGATGTTGCATTCTCCAGTGTTAGTAAATCATCTGCAGTGTCAGTGAATTTGAAAGCTCTTGCAGAGAAAACTGACAAACTACACAGGCAGAGATTAAAGTGTTACTAAACACACAACAGTAAAATCAATCTGTATATGCAGTAAAGCATTCTTGCTGTACGCACTGTGGAACCTAAGGCGTCAATCCTCTGCATTATGTAAAAACTCTGTTTGATCATGACTTCTCTGATCCTCCCCTTCTTCCTGTGCTCCCCTCTTTTTTCCTGATAAGACATGTCATGTGGAGTCACTCTGCCCATGCTCAGTTTGGTGTGTATTGCTAGAGAGGTTTTTTTTTCTTGGGAGAGTGCACGTGATTAGCACAGGGCCAATCAGCACTGTCCAGACAGGTCAGGGGTCCTGCATCCTCTTAGAGCAGAATTAATACTCCTCCTAGAAGCTTTAACATGTGCTCAGTTAGGCACATATAGAAGTCACAAGACTGCTCTAACTGCTGATGAGAAACGATATTTAGCTATTTATATTTACTAAAATAATTGCACTTCCATGTTCTGTGTACTGTGGGGGACCAGATATAGTGAATGCAGGGTCCTGGGTTTAGTAACACTTTAAGATCAATTAGGAAATTGTACTTGAAATGGAACTGATAGTAATTTGGGCAATCAACTCCTTTGCTGCTTTGTTTGCTCCTTTTAAAAAAAGGAGCTTCATGGGGCTTTTTTGTCTTCTGTGTAAATTAATTTTTTTGTTCCTATGAGGGCAGCAGTCACATTTAGCTAATGTCCTGTCTGTGACAAACATCTTTATTTTTGTTTTTATGGCTCCCCTTAATAAAAAGTGGTCTTTTGTTTCAGATAGATATTTGAGGTTTTTACTATTTTTGTGCTTCCTATATTTCTTTTGTGTGTTTTGAGTTTCTTTATTTTTTATTTTATTTTATGTAGATAGGGTCTTTTTAAATTTGAGGTGCTCAAAATGGAACATTCACTTGTTATTACCTGTTCTGTTCCTAAATAATTAATATTAATATGTCCTACTTCTATCTAATGTTATAATTCTCTATTCTTTTTGGTATTTTAATTTTTGTAGTAACACCACAATTTCCATTCTTTGTCTCTAAATTTGGGCCTAGCCTTGCTCATTAAAATTGTCCTGCTGCTGGTCTCTTAATTTTGTTACTCTTTGTCTCTAGTACATTTTGACCTACTCTCCCTTGTTAAAACGTTTTTGCTACTGGCTAATTTGATACAGCTGTATCCTCTGCAGTATCTTATTATTGTAGTAAATTTACAACCTGTGCATTTTGTTTCTAAAAAATGTAGGCTTAGCATTTGCTATTCATGTTTATCCTGCTGTTGACCACTGTTACACTTCTGTGTCATCTGCAAATTCTTAATTTATGTTGTAAAATGCCTGTCTGTACTCTTTTATTTTTCTAATATATTTCAACCAAATCTCCCTCCTTAAAATTGTCCTGCTGCAGCCAGTATACACTGCTGTATCATCTGTGGTCTCTTAATTCTTAATGAGAGCTTGATAGAAATTGGTCAGTGGCAGAATAGTTTTGCATCAACAAGAACATGGACAACCACAGAGAACTACTGGCCAATTTTAATGGCTGGTCAAAGCAAGAAAAGACTCAGATTTTTTTGGACATGTCCCCTTGGCAGTTCCCAGCTTCCCACAACTATTTTACCAGTGGCTTTAGCCCTAAAAATGCCCAGAATTTTTAACAAGTTTCCCATAAACTTCAAACTTGGGCAAACTTACCTCTCTTTACTTTTCACCCTAATAAGTAGAGAGTCCCATATAAATTGCATAATGTTGAAACAAGAGTAGGACAAAGCCAGAGACCATGATTGGCAAAACTCAAAAATAATAAAGTAGCTTTGGCAGTTAAGCCACTTAATGGTGTTGAGTCTTCCAAATGAAAAGATATTTAATACTGGCCCCATGTTTGTGGAAGATTGATTTGTTTGCAATGCTGGGAGAGGTAGTTTTCCTTATATGTAGGGATGATGTGGATACCAAGATACGGTAGATGGGAAGACCATTCAAGTCTGAAGTTTCTTTTCATGTATAGTAAGGGTGCTGGTATTAAGAAACCATGCATGTCAGTGGTTTTTTATTTGATTCACTTTTAAGCCTGATATTGCTATGAACTTGCTTAGGGTATTGAGAAGCATGGTAAAAAAGAGATGGGGTAAAGTGATGTTAAAGAGAATGTCATCTGTGAGTAAAGTGATCTTGCTTTTGATTCCGGTGCTGTTCCTTTTTGCTGCATTAGTTTCACCTTTTTTCAGGCTTTTTTCCCTTTATTTTCACCAGATGACCCTGGCTGTAGCACACTTCCTAGGGTGACAACACTCACTGACTGCACTGTATCTATGGAGGAGTAAAGTTGTCATCCTAGGCTGTTTTCCTAATTTAGATTACAAAAACCTCCACCTTTCCTCATCTTCATTACAGGAGGAATAGAATTTTTCAGTTCACATAAGATGGCTTAGAAAGTTGAGAACATTCTTTCAAATATCTTTTCAGTACACTGAAAGCTGCAAGCACATAGGAATTCTTAAAAGATCAAAAGGTATTTCCACACTGGGCTAGTAAACTGCAATATATTACATTTTGTTCTTGAATGCTGATATCTTTTTATGCAATGGCAGTAAACAAGGGAGTTAGCACAACTGTTCGAAGTGGTTCACCAGCATGTCACTTCACAAGGGAGCATGCACTTGCAGACAGTTGTGTCTGTGTGGGTCATGTCAATAGAGACAATGCATATTGGGGGCTTCTCTGTGCCTATTACAGTCCTTACCTAGATAAAATGAAGGGATTGGGGGTTCAGATATGTTTAATATGTCTCAGGTAGTAAATATAGAGTATGAGCGAGATTTACTAAAACTGGAGCACTCAGAATCTGGCGCAGCTTTGCATAGTAGCCAATCAGCTTCTAACGTCAGCTTTTCAATTAAGCTTTAGCAATAAAACCTGGAAGCTGATTGGTTTCTATGCAGAGCTCCTTCAGATTTTGCATGCTCCAGTATTAGTAAATAACCCCCTATGTTTGATCCAAAAGCTGACTGCTGTGAGCTACTTCACACTGAATAAATATAATTTCCCCTTTCATTACCTTATTGAATAGGCCTGATGGGCTGTATTAAAGTACACGACACCCAGTCTGTCTCTCCGCCATTTAATTTTATTATATAAAATGATGCACCCTTCAGCCTCAGGAGCTCCTAAACCTATATGATAGGATACAGCAGGAATATGATAGATTGTAACACCTGTTTCCCAGCCTTGGAAAGGATTGTTAAATAACATAGTGTAAAGTCTTTTCAACCTTGTTACCTTTGATGAGGTTGTCTCTGTTGTGGCATAATTCTCATTTATAATGAACTTACATTCCCTAAAGCTGCAATCAGTATTAATGAGTATTAAGTTTTAAAGTATCAATAAAGATTCTCCAGGTGTGTATCCAAAATTATCATTGAGTTGAGAGTGATTTTTACCAACAGGCAGCTGTTGTCTGTTGTAGACTGGGAGCTGTGCCAGCAAAAGAAAAATAGGTGTACGTGGGCACAAATGAAGTCTTGTAGGCTTTAGATAATTGTGATGGGCAGGATTTAGTATTACCACCTCAGTAACACATCCAAAAGGGCATGTATCTCTCAGACAAGCACTTTTTGTTTTAGCTCTCTTTTTTATGATTGTTCAGTGAACAGATTTCAAGAGATTAAAGGCAAACTATAGAAGAAAACATACAACTCAAAAACAAAGCCATTAAAAAATAGCTTCTACTTTTTGTTCTTGAGGCACTGTTTGGCAGGAAATCGAATGATCCATGTCACATTTTGCCCTACTAAATTCCCAGAAGCTTTGTTTTGTTCTGAACTTTTATAGAAGCTCTTACAACACAAGAGCTTCTGTAAAAGTTCAGAACAAAACTAGCTATTGAGGGCTGGTTCACACCAGAACGCAGTGCAGGAAAGGAGCGTTCTGTGCTCCTTTACTACAAAACGCACAGTCTTTGTGAGCTGCTATGAGTGCCAATATGGCACCCCAAATGCAGATCATAAACAGAGTGTATTTTCCTGCACTGGATCACATGGTACCACTGTACCATGCAATCCTTTGCAGTGCATTTTTGAAAAGTAGTGCATACACTGCATTTGGTGCGTTCCAGTGCAATTTCAGCTCATTCAAATGAATGGACTGCCATATCACACTTCAGGTGCTACCAAAACACACTGCAGTCTGTGTTCCTGTGCCAATTTGTTGTGAACCAGCCCTGAAGGTTCCATAATCTGAGGCAAGAGTAGACCCACCTGATTCAATTATGCTATGTATGTTATGCATGTTGGCTGGTAAACTTTGGAGCTGAAATTTAAAATGTATCTAAACCTTATAACAATATAGGGATAAGGGATGCTGGCTGCCATACAATGATGTCATCACAGCATGTGAGACCCAAGACCCTTGCACGAGCTGTGGGGCAGGTGTCTGCGCTTGTGAGCCCAGTGTTGCCAGCCTCCCGCAGCATTTTTTACCAACAAAACATGGAAAAATTACTGATGTAGCACTTTTTTTTTTACAAATCACATGAAAACTGACAATACATACTGAGACCATCCATATTTAAACAGTATAAACACAATATGGAAACTCTCATAATACCCATAGCAAGTAATTGGACAGGTTTACACTTGACTTTACAAAAGTCAACAAAGCATGACCAATTATCAGCCCCTGATATTTATATACAGTTGTTTTTTACAAACTTTCCATAGATTTACAGTTGGCAACTCTGTGGGCAAGTCATTGGAGCCAAATCCCAGTTCTTGTTCCTGCCCTGAGCCCCGTTCCAAGGTCAGCCTTTATTCGGCGGGACTCCAGGATTTTTCTCAAATCTCTGGGTGGTCCCGGCAAATCAGGGATGGATGGGAGGTATGTGGTTATTCCATTCTTCCTAAATGACTAGTTACTACAGCATTACTCAGTTTTAAAGCAACCTTGCCTGTAAAAAACATTTCAAAATCTCCTCACTGATCTATAGTTAACACACTACAAGGCTTCATTACTGTTATTGTTGTAGAGTTTATGATTACCTCTCTTGAACAAAGTGAAACAGATTGGAAGGAGTGTGACGTGGATGGGTCTTGAAGCTTGAATAAATTCATTGATATTATATCAGGACTTTTGGACTCTAACAACTTTTTGCTTGGTGTTCTGCAGGCCATTCTGTTGTGCTATGAACAATGTGTTCTTTTTGCTGATACATCCTGGCAAATCTTTTCCTCTTTTCTTGCCTCCTTTAACTCTGTATAAACATCTTACCAAAAGTCAGAAATGGAAAAGTTAGTAACACAATAAAAAAGATGCACTAAGTAGTCTATTTTCTTGCAGCATACATTGAGATGTGTAGACTTTCAGCAAAAAAAAATAAAATGCTTGAAAAAACGTTAAGAGCTGCAGCTTGAACTCAGGGTGTCAGATGCTAAAATACCTTGCAAAGTAAAGCCTATTACCTCCTTTCTATGTCACATTACCTTGACAGTAAAACTACCATAAAAATATGTAGTCTTTTTTTAACACATCTCATGAATAATGGGTGATTGAATGTCTGACTCTGTAGAGAATGGCGACACAGCCAACAACCATCACAGAAAAAAAAAATGTTTTTTTTAAACAGACTACTTTTATTCATGTGTGTTCTAATGTCTGAATCTGTAAGGGGTAGATCATTTTTTGACCACTACTAAATAAAAATAAAAGTCTATAATAGAGGAAGAAAGCAAATATATTTTTATTAGTGTAGAAGACCTAGAGTAAAGAGAGAGGGAACACATTCAAGAAAACATGGTTAAAGTCTATAATAGAGGAAGTGAGCAAATATATTGTTATGATTCTAGAAGACCTGAAGCAGAGAGAGAGGGAACGCATTCAAGACAACATGGTTAAAGCCATAAGTCAAACTCCAGCTTGAGTGGACAACCCTCCCCCACCCACCTGGCACTTCATCCTGAATCCCTCATACCACAGAAATGCAAATAGTAGCATTGTCACCACAGCATCAGTGCCTCTTCTGCATTGTAATGTTAGATACTGTGATAAGGAACTCTTGGGACAGGTTTCTGGTGCCTTGGGCTCACAGGTTATGGGGTGAATGGAGCTAAATATAGGCAGCACAATGGATAAGTGGATAGCACTTCCACCTAGCAGCACTAGGGTTGTCAGTTCAAATCCCAAAACCATGGCACTACCTGCCTAGAGTTTGCATGTTCTCCATGTGTCTGCATGGGTTTCTTCTGAATACTCTGCTTTCCTCCCACACTGGTAAGAAATGGTTAAGCTCCTGGAGGACAGGAACTGGTGTGAAAGTGCAATGTATGTGTAACACCCTGTGTAAATTGATGGCAAGATATAAGTATCTATAATAAATGAATAAATTACAGTCTAGTCACAACAGCAGTGTTGGGTTTAGGGGCGGACTGACAACTCATGGGGCCCCTGGGCAATAGGGGATCATGAGGCCTCTATGTCCTTGCCCAAACTCAAAAAAAGCCTATGAAAAAGGTACCAGGGGAATCTCATGGGGCCCCCTACTGACCCCGGGCCCTCGGGCAGTGCCACCCCTGGTTGGGTTGCATTGTTCAATGTAATTCCAACACAAGAACAAGACAAATAGTCTCACGTATATTCAGTTCATTACAATGTGCTGAATTGGTGGTTGCTGAAAACAGAAATGTTGCATTCCCGCACATTCCTATCAGCTATATTGCATTGCAACACCCTGTAGTGCATAGCTGATAACATTGAAGTTGAAGAAGAAGGACATACTCTCTACTAAGTAAGCTATACATGTCACCTTTCCTCTTCTTTACTAATGCTGCATGTCATTTCTAATAACAACCACTATATATACTTTTTTTTTAATTTGTTTCCCAGCAGTCGCATGACTGCACAACTCCATGTTCTAAGTTGAAGGGAGGAGACTTCAGCAACTACCAGAGTGTTAGTGCCCGTGGGGTGATGTCACTGCTAGGGGTGATGTGACCATTAGAAAACAAAGTTTAAAAAAATTTTTTTTACTGCATATTATTATTACTGATGTGATGAGGGGTGATGTGACTGCTAGGAAACAAATAAAAAAAAAGTATTTACATTTCTTATTATTATAAATAATGTGCAGCATTATAAAAAGGCAGAGGGAAGGCAAGACTTGAGTGAGTCCCACAGTGTCGAGAGTAGGTGCCCAAACTGTATCCTAAAAATAGGTGACAATAATTCCTTAAGCAGTGGCCTGCAAGTTGTGACCAGTAGCCTCTTGCCACTAAGCAATCTAGGTTTTCGCCTCCTCCCACTTTCCTTCTGGACCCAGTGATGTCAGCTGACACACAGGGCTCAGAGATGATGATCTCCAACAAATCTGGCAATATCAACAGTATCGTTGGGCTCTGATGATGTCAGCTGTGACACAGGACTCCTAGTGGCAGCAGAGTCAGTCTCTTCCCCATGGCAAGTTTCCAAGACAGTAGCTCTTTCTCTCTAATGATCATCTCTCAGCTCCCGACAAGACTGCTTAAGCCCAGGAATTATTTCTCCTTTTCCTCCTCTACAGATCTCTGTCATGCTTGGACCTGTGGTCCACCCAATCCTTGGTTTAATAGAAAAACCATCTTTGGAGATTACATTTCCCCTAGTTCCAGGTGGTTCCCAGCAGGTTTCCTCCAAGGCTGCAAAGCAGCCAAACAGTGTCCTCTGGAACCTGGGGCAGTGGGTGGGCTCTCCTCTAGCTCACAGTGGCTGCAGCACAGAATTAAAAATGTCATGTGTTCTCTCTCTACTCCTCTGTTCACTGGCAGCCATGGAGAAGGAGAACGGCTACACCACTGGCTGTGTATGAGAGGCTGCAGTGGGCAGGAATGCCACAGACCAATACTACACAAAATACAACATTTTGGCTGCAGCTAGACTGTAATTAGTAATCCACTAATTGGCAGTCACTGTTTTAACATTCACATACAAACACACCTAATAAAAAATATAAAAACCATACTTGTGGTGGTAAATAACAATAAGTAAATAAAGTGTCCTGTAGTGACATGGAGGTTGGCAGAAAGAACACTAAGCCCAGCAGATGACATCCCCAAAGTGTTGGTTTCCTAGTGAACTCCGTAGGAGGAGGTTTGTTCAACAGGGTGGCATTGGGAGAGGTGATTATTTACTCTTTTCATTTTCAGGCAGATGCTTTTGTTTGTGCAGTTTTCACTGATCAGTTTTCTGCAACTCCCTGTTGGAGCTCAGGATGCTGACAATAGGTTTTTTTTTTTTTTTTTATCCAAACTCTTTTATTAGTATCAAAGAGTAATTAACAAAACATTACAGTTTGTTCCATAAATCACATGAATCACATACAGTATATTAGGAACAAAAGATATATCAGGCCAGGCCTGTAGCAGATCCAATAGAGATGTTTAGGTAGGAACATACACTATATTGCCAAAAGTATTGGGACACCCCTGCAAATCATTGGATTCAATTGTTCTAATCACCTCCATGGCCACAGGTGTATAAAATCAAGCACCTAAGCATGCAGACTGCTTCTACAAACATTTGAGCAAGAATGTATCGCTATCAGGAGCTCAGTGAATTCAAGCATGGTACCAGGATAGGTTGCCACCTGTGCAATAAGTCCATCCGTGAAATTTCCTTGCTACTAAATATTTCACGGTCAACTGTTAGTGGTATTATAACAAAGTGGAAGCAACTGGGAACAATTTCAACTAAGCCACGAAGTGGTAGGCCACATAAAATGACAGGGTCAGTGCATGCTGAGGTGCACAGTGTGCAGAAGTCGGACACTGTCTGCACAGTCAAAAGCTAAAGACCTCCAAACTTCATGTGGCCTTCATTATAGCACAACAACAGTGCGTAGAGAGCTTCATGGAATGGGTTTCCATGGCCAAGCAGCTGCATCCAAGCTGTACATCACCAAGTGCAATGCAAAGTGTCGGATGCAGTGGTGTAAAACACGCTACCACTGGACTCCACTAGTGGAGATGTGTTCTCTGGAGTGACAAATCACGCTTCTGTCTGGCAATCCGATGAATGTGTCTGAGTTTGGTGGTTGCTAGGAAAACAGTACTTGCCTGACTGCATTGTGCCAAATGTAAAGTTTTATGGAGGGGGATTATGTTATAGGGTTGGTTTTTAGGGGTTGGGCTTGGCCCCTTAGTTCCAGTGAAGGGAATACTTAATGCCGCAGCATACCAAGACATTTTGGACTATTTCCTGATCCCAACTTTGTGGGAATAGTTTGGGGATGGCCTCTTCTGGTTCCAACATGACTGCACATCAGTGCACAAAGCAAAGTCCATAAAGACATGGATGAGTGAGTTTGAGGTTGAGGAACTTGACTGGTCTGCAAAGAGTCCTTACACCTTTGGGATGAATGAGAGCAAAGACTGCGAGCCAGGCCTTCTAGTCCAACATCAGTGTGTGATCTCACAAATGCACTTCTTCAAGAATGGTCAAACATTCCCATAGAAACACTCCTAAACCTTGTGGACAGCCTTCCCAGAGGAGTTGAAGTTGTTACAGCTGGAAAGGGAGCTGCAAAGGCCAGCTCAATATTGAACCCTACGGACTAAGACTGGGATGTCAATAAAGTTCTTGTGCATGTAAAGGCTGGCATCCCAATGCTTTTGGCTATATAGTGTACATAGTAATAATAATTAAAAAAAAAAAAAAAAAAGAAGACAGCAGCTCTGTAGTTTTACAGTGCTAAATGTTCATATATCAGGGAGACATAAATACTAACAGAGCAGCCCAAACCAGCGGTGGGAGATTGGATGCTATTTCCTTCAGTAGTGGAGTCTATCAATCACTCAGATCTGTAGTAGCGTCTCCATCACTAACCGTGGTGGGGCCAAACCAGGAGTGTCTAACCAGCACTACCAGACTAGGTCAAATTTACGCAGAGCATTGCAGTGGTGGTAGGTAAGTTGTTCCCTCAGTAGGAGAGAATTAATGTAATCTAACCAATGCTCTTTGGTAAGTGTCACAGAGGACATTCAATATCTAGCAATTAACCTTCTGGCTAGGTACAGAAGGCAAATATCCATTATATAGGTACCAGGTGGACATAATTCAGCATCTAATGTGCACAGCAGACACACTAGTGGATCATTAGGAATGGGAACTTTGGCAATTGAAGAGATAATTTGCAAAACCTCTACCCAATATCTTGTATGTTTTGGGCAATACCAGATCATATGTATAAAATTTCCTCTTTATATTACATTTAGAACATATGGGTGTATGTCTCCTACTCCTATCAAGGATTCTGACAGGTGTCCGATAGATTCTTTTTGTGATACACATCTAAAACACCCCAAATACCTCCAAATATAATATGTTTAAATAAAACCACACATAATTCCAAGTAAATAGAATAAATATATATATCTAAAAAAATATATTAATAGACCCCAAAGTGTCCAAGTCACAAAAATTATTTCCAAAGTATTTTCTTATAAATCCAGTGAAGCAAAAACGATACACAATACTCCGTGATAACCTCAAAGAAAAAAGAAAAGAAAAAAATTCATAGTGTATTACCCTTAAAATATAATATATAAACTTATATACTTCACTCTGTGCACAACACAAAACACATCAAAATTGTGCAAATTAAATTAAATTAATTAAATATCAATCCAAATGAATAATAAATAAAATTAAATAAAATAAAAAATAAAAATAAGAAGATAAAAACCAAAAACGTGAAAAATCGTGATCACTCCAACCACAAAGTGAATAGTGATACTAGGTACTAGTACCCTTAAACTCCAGCCAAAAGTGATACCAAGTACCATTACCCTCTTCCAATATTTTCAGGCATAAGCTGACATAAAGAAACGGTATCTCTCCATCCTTCTTTTTCAGGGGTATTCCTCATAAAAGTAAAGAAAGGCTCTTTAGGCAGGATCCATAAAAAGGAACAGATTTTAATCAAAACTTACATATAAAACAGGGATATCCAGCTTCCAGCACTAATCTTTCAAATCCTAGGTTGAAAACCATATGTTTCCAACCAACAAAATGGCCGCGGCGACACTTCAGGTTAGCGTGTGTGCGTGATGACGTCACTCCCCTAACGCGTCTCGTCACCCCTGGACTTCATCTGAAGGGATGATCCCTTTATTTAGAATTTATTAGATTGTATACTTTCTAGGGAGAAAGTAGTGTTTTGTGGTAGGGGTGTAACTAAGGAGTTTATTGATTGAGGTGTCCGATAGGCCAGGTGAATAATAAATAATTGGGAGAGCTTGTGTGAAGTCAATAATGAGGAAAGGGGGACCGACTCCAAAGCCATGTCCCATTGATCCCCACCAATTTCCCCTACATACTTAGTCCATTGTGATCTACATTTCAGCAAGGCATGATCTTGAATGGAGGAGAGCAATACCCCATATATACGTGATATCAAGTCTTTTTAATCTGAAGCATGAATAACTTCAGTTATCAATGAAGAATTAGACATATGAAAGGTGGGAGTAGGATGCTAACAATAGTTCACAAGGTATCAGCTTTCTTGAAGTCGTCTGATTGGACCAATGTGCCACCTTACTAGCTACAGTTACAGCAGGCTGGGGTGTAAAAGTGGCAAAAAGGCATCTGATCTGATGTTGCACTTACGTTGGCCTAATAAATATACAGGTGCTGTGTGCTTACTTACCTGTACATTGATGCTACCTACAGTTGTGACCAAAATTATTCAACCCCCACTGAAATTGAGTGTTTTGGCCAGTTTGACATTGCTTAGGTCAGACAAATATAACATAACAGTTATAATGAAATAACCACAAATGTCTTTTCTGTGCTCACAGCATTATCAGTTTATTCAACCCCAAGTGACATTCAATCTTAGTACTTAGTACAGCATCCTTTTACAGTTATAACAGCTTTTAAACGTGAAGCATAGCTTGACACAAGTGTCTTGCAGCGATCTACGGGTATCTTCGCCCATTCTTCATGGGAAAGGCCTCCAGTTCAGTCACATTCTTAGGCTTGCGCACTGCAACTGCTTTCTTTAAACCAGAGGTTCTCAATCGGATTTAAGTCTGGTGACTGCGATGGCCACTCCAAAATGTTCCAGCCTTTCCTCTGCAACCATGCTCTAGTGGACTTGGAGGTATGCTTGGGATCATTGTCCCCAACGTCTCCCAAGCCTCAGGTGTGTGACGGACTGCATCACGTTTCCATCCAATATCTCCTGGTACTGAAGAGAATTCATGGTACCTTGCACACGCTGAAGCTTCCCTGTACCTGCAGAAGCAAAACAGCCCCAAAGCATGATTGACCCTCCACCATGCTTCACAGTAGGCAAGGTGTTCTTTTCATCATAGTGCCTTGTTCACAAACATAGCGTTGATCCATGGGCCCAAACAGTTCTAATTTTGTTTCATCATCCACAGAACACTATCCCACAACTTTTGTGGTTTTGTCCACATGGCTTTTGGCATACTGCAGTCGACTCTTCTTATTCTTTGGAGACAGCAAGGGGGTACGCCTGGGAGTTCTGGCACGGAGGCCTTCATTACGCAGTGTGCGTCTTATTGTCTGGGCTGAAACTTCTGTACCCACATCTGACAAATCTTTTCTCAGTTCCTCAGCAGTCACACGGGGACTTCTCTCCACTCTACGCTTTCAGGTAGCGCACAGCAGTCGAAGTCAGCATCTTCTTTCTGCCACGACCAGGTAGCGTTTCAACAGTGCCCTTTGCCTTGAATTTGCGAATGATGCTTCCTAAGGTGTCTCTTGGTATGTTTAACATCTTTGCAATCTTCTTATAGCCATTGCCCTTCCTGTGAAGAGAAATCACCTCTTCTCTTGTCTTCCTGGACCATTCTCTTGCCTTCAATGTTTGTAACCACACCAGTAAATGTCTAGAAGGAGCTGAGTATCACAGTCATTTTAAAGCTGCCTAATTGGTGCTTATTATGCTTGATTGCTGCTCGGTGACATCCACAGGTGTTTTTCAATACCTGATGGAAAGCACCTGCTGTTCTTCAGAGTGGTAGTCTTTAAGGGGTTGAATAATTGTGGCAATGAAGAAACCACATAAGAACCATTTACTACTGTATTACATAAACAATTGATGTCATTTTAGTTGCATTTGGGTAGTTACAACGTCCTTGTAGGATTTGATTCTGAATACAATTCCAAATGTACACTATAGTCCCTAAAACCCTTTACAGCATTGGGGGTTTGAATAATTTTGGTCACAACTGTAATATCAACCAGCAGCGATAACAGCAGAGTTTTCTGCTCTCATGTCAATACTCACAGTACAACCCACTAGCCCATTCACATGTTCTGCTGGTCCTTCCAACTAGCTTCTACTGGTGCCGAAAACCCTGAAAACCCTGTGGCGATATCACAAGGTTGAAGATTCTCTATATCTCTACTCTGCAAAAAGGTAAATAAAAAAGGTTTCTATTTGATGTGCACATTAGGAGAAATGTTTGTATGCAATCTGTTTTTTTCAGAGATCAGATTTAAATGCGAAAACTGGGAGAAGCCTGGTAGAACAAGATCTTGAACTGCAAATCCACCATGGTCATTTTTTGTCCAAATTGCTGGATGATATACTATATCCATCATTGACTCAATGAACAATGTGTGTACGCAAAAGTAAGCCTGAAAAACTCTTGAGCCCCATTCCACTGACCTGTCATAGGCTATTCCACTGCCAACTAATGCCGTTTTTATATTACAGTAATCAAATTCTCCTTACCATGATCATACCAGCTGGCTTACATTCCCAATCAACATTATCTACTGATATGGGGATTAAGGTTGGCTGGGGTATTTTGTTGAAAACTATTTTTCTGAGAATATACAGCATATAGGAGCTGTTTGATGAAATTTCCCTAAAAAAAACTAAACTTTTTTCTTTATT